CCGTGGGAACACTTGCCATGTTGTGAGCAGTCCTATGGAGATGCCCATAGGGCATATGGAGGAGCTGAGGCCAATGGTGCATGCGGGTCTTCAGCCTGGCTACAGCAGTTGTGAGTGAATTTAATACCTTCAGCCCCAATTGGGGATTGTGGTGACCCTATTCCAGTTGACAGCTTGACTGAAAGTTCATGGGAGACCTGGGATCTGAGGGACCCAGCCAAACAATACCTAGATGCCCTACCCAGGGAAACTATGAAAGGATAAACGTTTGTTATTTTCAGAAGCTAAGTATTGGGGTGATTGTTGTGCATCAATAGATAATGGATACACCATTAGATAAATAGAGAAAAAATGCTTGGGTAAAATGTTTGAAAAAATAGACTTGCTTTTTTCTAACATTTTAATGTTGTTCCAGAGGGCCCTAAAGACGGGGGTGGGGGTGGGGTGGGGGAAAGCAGTGGGGTGGGGTAAGAGAGAAGGGAAGAGAGAGAGAGAGACTGATTCTGTTCTACTCTCTCCATCAAGGATCTAACATTGTATCTTCCCTGTCTCCTAAGGTAGCAGTTTGGGGAAGCTAAATTGAGTGCATGCTTGCCTCCAAACATGTCTCTCAAGATGTGATGGCTGGTTTTATAGAGAACTATAAAAAATTAGTCTGTATCTTCTCTGTGTACAGAATAAGAGAATATAGGCTTATAAAACAACAATTGTAGTATTCTGAATCAGTAACAGAAGGCAATGAATATTTTCAAAAGTATTTAGAAAAATGTGAAAAAATAATTTTTAAGAAGAAAATGAACCAAAGACTAAATTTACATAAAGTTTATTATATATCATTTTATTTTATGCCATTTTGCTATTTTACAATACTTTGTTTATACTAATAAATGCCAGTATTTGGTAACACATGTAAACTTGTTCAATGACTGTTTCAGAAACCTGTATTGCATTTCACCTGCCTATATACCCATTTACTATATTTTGTCCTGTATCACATCACAAGTAAGTAGCAGTAATCCACAGGTTTTGGTGACACCAGGGAGTTAGATTCTCTTAAAAATGGTATTCTGTTTCTGGGTCTTTTCTGTCTGACAGAGTGCTGAATTTCATTAACTCTGAAACTTCTAAAACTCTTTGGGATAGAGAGAAATATTTTGTTTTTTTCTTTGTTCTTGCCACATATGGTAATTTTTCTGAATCCATTATTTTTATGGCATGCCATTTAAATATGAATATTTTAGAAGTTAATTGCAAAGGTCATAAATGTGATAACTGTGAAAAGTACACTGAAACCAGTTATATCTTTTTAATCAAAGGCAGAATCAGAAGAAAGTATTTTTCTCTTACTATTCTATGAATGATAATTCACACTTATTTATTACCATCTACAGGCACCATACTAATATCTGTGTGCCCTTTTTATTCATTCAGTGAAGGGTTTCCAAATTCACCTATTCCATGAGGATTTTATAGAAGTAATCGTAATCATCATCCTTTAAACTCATAGAGTGCTTTATAGTTTACAAAATGTTTCTACATACATCATCCCATTAGTGCCTCCCAATGGTCCTGGACTTAGAAAGGGCATTTATTAGTATTTTCATTTCATCAAGGAAGAATTTCAAGCTAAGAGAGTGTGATTCCCCAAATCACAGTGTTAGAATGTGTTGTGCGTGGGTTCCAAATCTATCTACTAACTACCAGCCCAGTGATCATTCCATAGGTGGTTTTACTTTATAAATCCCTAACAGGTATAGCCACAATGAATTTGTAATTAATAATAGGTGTTGAAATATAAAATGACTCATATAAGCACACTAGGTCTTGAATAGCTCAGATTAAGTGTGAAAGAAAATATAACCATTTAGATGAAGACTCTGTTTTACTCTACCTGCAACTATTAATGAAACTTAGTAAATATAAAAATTGCAGCTGCCCCGCTGGGATATATTCCTGGCATTTGTTTCTAGTTGGGTTTATGACTCAAGTTACCTCTGGTTTCAGCTCAAAAGGAAGCACCGCTGGTTTCAATTCAAAGTGTATTTAGTATTAGATGATTTGGCATGTTTCTTTTCCTAAACTGGGGAGTGTCCAATTAGAATCCAATCCAGGGTCACCTGGGTGGCTCAGTCAGTTGAGGGTCTGATTCTTGATTTCAGCTCAGGTCATGAAGCAGGGTTATGGGATTGAGCCCTGTGTTGGGTTCCATGCTGAAAGTGGAGCCTGCTTGGGGTTCTCTGTCTCTCCCTCTGCTCCTCTCCCCACCTCTCCCCACCTCTCCCTTCCTCGTTCTCTCTCTCTCTCTCTCTCAATCTCTCTCTAAAAACTTTTCAAAAATCCTTCCAGGACTTGATTGATTGCTTTATTGGTAAATAAGGAGTCATTTTTACAAAGATGTGCTTGACACTAAGCACTTTGAAAGATGTGAGGACCAGGCAAAGTCAGGCACCCAGTGGAGACTTGCTGTTTGTGCAGCTTACCCTTCCTACAACCTAGCCCTGGTTAGGGATTGGAAGTGTCTGCCCTGACTAGGAGACTGTTTTTTGCTACCAAGGACCTGACCCATGGGACACTGATGTTATTGCTGCAGGATTCCTACTGGCTGAGCTATGAAAGAATTTCATTCATGCATATTTTAAGTATTCAGTAAATATTTGTTAAAAATAAATTAATAAATACATACTGTCATAATTGAAAACCTTCACAAACCCAGAGAAAATGTAGTTTACATCTCCCTGGGGTTGGGCTTGTTACTTCCTTTATCATAATTTCCTTGGAGTTGAAGTGTCTGTTAAGTATGAGTTTGAATACTTTTCACATTGGGGTTCCTGTGTCCTGATCAGTGGTAGAAAAGTGCCCGCGGTGTGGTGACAGGGGCAGGAAAGGACTTCTAATGGATCTCTGGAGGAGCCATGTTTTGTGCGTGGGATGAATTCCGGACTCAGAAGTGTCTGGGTTAGCCAACATTTTTGATCATTTACCCAAGAGGGAGTGATTGAGTGGGAAGCATCAAGGTTAATTTGTTGATTAAAATGATAATTCAGCATTTACATTTTCAAAGTTCTTTGTGATTACTAATGAGCTGTTCCTCAAAGTGGGCATGAGGGAAAGGTCTGCATCTCCATCCCCATTGTACAAATGAGGAAACATAGTCAAGAGATATTAAGTGACTCACTCAAGGTCATACAGCAAGTTTACTGCTGAGGAACCTTAACTGAACTTAAGAAACTGGCTGTCTACAGCTGGCTCAGGATATTCAGGGTAGGGCTTCTTCCCAAGGGGAGTTCCCTCATCCCGGGCCTTTGTTGTCTAAATGTGAGTTGATGTGGATCTGATATCTTCTAATGACATGAGTGCCAACGTCACCATGACTGAAGGATGTCAAAATAGTGCTGATGGCTGGAAGAATAATTCTGGGAACACACCGTTCTGGTCATCCTGAGCTGAGGTTGTGCAAATTCTGCTCATGAAGATAATTTCTAGGGTCCCAGGGACTTTGTTCTCACTTTTCAACAAATCTCACAGGAAACCTTTTCCAGCAAGTCTACTCTTTGAGATCAGTTCAGGTTCATATTAACCTTCCTTTTGGATTCTTCTTTAATTAAAATAAACAAAATCCCATAACCTTTTTTTGTTGTTACAAGGAAATGAAGCAACTGTTCCTCCCTAATCAGTGCTTATAAGAGACGCAGAGCTTCAAGAGCTCTCAGAGTCGTGGTGCTGAGGATGTTTCTTCCTCTGTGCTCCCCAAAACATGGTTCAGATCTTTATTTTTGCATTTACAGGATAACAGATAACTGCTCTACACTTTCTGGGGAAATTTTCACTATATTTTTCTCTAAGATCTTTTACAATACCTTTTAATCATAGGCACTTAGTATTTTTTTTTTAATTAATCCATTTATTTTGAGAGAGACAGCAAGGATGAGTGGGGGGAGGGAGAGAGAGAGGGAGAGAGAGAATTCCAAGCAGGCTCTGTGCTGTCAGCACAATCTCATGAACGGTGAGGCTCAATCTCATGAACGGTGAGATCAGGACCTGAACCGACATCAAGACTTGGATGCTAGGGGCGCCTGGGTGGCTTAGTCAGTTAAGCGTCCGACTTTCGCTTAGGTCACGATCTCGCAGTTCGTGGGTTCGAGCACTGCGTCCAGCACTGTGCTGACTGCCAGCTCAGAGCCTGGAGCCTATTTCAGAGTCGTATCTCCCTCTCTCTCTGACCCTCCCCTGCTCATGCTGCCTCTCTCTCTCTCTCTCCTAGAAATAAATAAAAATGAAAAAAAAAAATCTAAAAAAAGACTTGGACGCTTAACCGACTAAGCAACCCAAGCAACCCTCATAGGCACTTAATATATATATATATATTTTTTACAAATAGTTTATTGTCTATAACACCCTATAACACCCAGTGCTCATCCCCACAAGTGCCCTCCTCCATGCCCATCTCCCCCCTCCCCCCCACATCCATCAGTCCTCAGTTTGTTTTTCAGCATTCAAGAGTCTCTCATGGTTTGCCTCTCTCCCTTTCCCCCACCATTTCCCCCTTCCTCTCCCCGATGGTCCTCAGTTAAGTTCCTCCTAATCCTCCTATACGTGCAAACATATGATATTTGTCCTTCTCTGCCTGACTTATTTCGCTCAGCATAACACCCTCAAGGTCCATCCATGTTGCTACACATGGCCAGATTTCATTGTTTCTCATTGCCATGTAGTATTCCATGGTATAGATAAACCACATCTTCTTGATCCATTCGTCCATTGATGGACACTTAGGCTCTTTCCATGGTTTAGCTATTGTGGAGAGTGCTGCTATGAACATTGGGGTACATGTGCCCCTATGCATCAGCATTTCTGTATCCCTTGGGTAAATCATAGCTACTTAATATTAAATGTTTTTCTTTGAAGAATTAATTTAGGTCACCTACCTCCCTTTTCTTTGTACAGGTGGCCAAACTTTCTTCTTTCCAGGAAGGAATAATAGGAGAATGAGAAAGAGGAAAAGAAGAGAAGAGAAAACTGGAATTGAAGTAAAGAGGGGTAGTGCCAGATACTATCCGGAAGCTTTATATACTATCTTCCAAGACCTCATATGCTCTTATTAATAACTCTATTTTGTAGATGAAAGAAAGAAGAGGCAGAGGGGAAGGAAATAGGTAGATGGGGACTGTACTGGCTGCCCAGGTACAAATATGCCCAACATGTGTAGTTTTAAATAATTTCAATAGAACAAAATTAGCTTCATGTTGAACAACACATCTTTCTCCAGTCAAATTCTGAGACATGGCCAATGCCAATAAGAGACTTACCTGGAAATTGTATAACTGGTGGTTTCAAGTGATTTGGCCTACAAACTGTTGATGGGTCGATATCCAATTTGCCTCCTTTCTAAGAGCATCCGAGATTTTTTAATGTCATCGTTAGTTACAGGAGTGTGGGGTGAGCAATGTCATCCCAATTACTGGCCAGCTCATCACCTATTTTTATTTTTCATGTATCAGAGCCCAGACCCTAGAGCCTGTTATGGGAGCATTTAGGTATTGGTTCTTGAAGTTTTCTAATGGGAGGCTTAGTCATGGTTCCACAGCAGAAGTATTTGAAGAGAAAGACCTTTGGTAATTAAGGGGTTGAGCAGATGCCTCATATCAAGTGAGGCTGTATATTATGAGGTAACCATGCTATAACTGGCCACTGTATAAGAATATGAGTGACATCTGAATTCCATGTCTGTATCTGCCATTTACTAGCTATGCTGAACAAGTTACTTCTTATGCTTCAGTTTCTCCACTTATAAAATAGGGGTGATATCATTTACACCAGAGAAATTATGAGGACTAAAAGATAAAATATTAAAAATAACCATACAACTGGGGGGGGGGGAACAAAACAAAGCAGGAAAAAGAGGAAAATTTTCAACTAACAAACATGAAATAAAGGATAAAATTAGAAAGGCACCATTTTATAGTCCTTGATGTCATAATTGACTCATGTGAGTATGATCAGTAGATGCTAAGTCATTGGGTGTTGAGGAAGGGGATATTCATGGTTTAGATTGAAACAGAAGAAAATGTTAGTTTACAAGGGAGAGGTCAAGTGGTTACTGCCTTTACATAATAGGCAAGCTTGTGACTTTCAGAGGGACGAGCGGACCTTATATGTTACTATATAATCAAATGTGAGGTATCCAGTACCACCTATGAACTGTTTGGGCCAAAAATGTTTATCTAAATCTAATCGAGCCTTTCACTTAACTTCCAATTAAAAGAAATACAGGGGAAGGGGGTACAATTTAAAGTGCACCTTGAAGAAACAACCAGTTATATCCAGAATGTGAGATAATCTACTGTAAGACAACTGGACCTGAATGCTTAAAATAGGTAAATATCATGGGGAAAAAAGGAAGGGAAGGGGGACTGTTCTGAATCAAAAGAAAATAAGGAGCTATAACAACTCCATGAAATATATACAATAGCAACAACAATGTTGATGGCAAACGAGCTGTCAGATGACTTTTTTTGACAAAGATTATTAGGAAAATGTGAATATAACTGGATCTAGATGATATTTATGGAACAATTTTTCTATAAAAATCAAATAGCAATTAAAAATTGCAGTTATAAAATAATTTTGTGGTATATTTGAGAATGCCCTTATGCATACATATACACAGAGAAAGAGAAAACAAATATGGAAAAATATTAATAATTGTTAAATATAAATGGAAAGTATATGACTGTTATTTTTTTTCAAGTTATTTTGTTTGGAATTTTTCATGAGTTAGAAAAACCAAAAGAAAAAACTCAGGAAATATATGTAGGATACTCAAATTATAAGTCTATAAAGAATAGAAGCTACTTTTAATGTATCAATAGTATCCATAATGTATCTATAATGAAAATTGTTCATTAATTGGTTGACAACGACAGGAAAAACTTATTCCAAAAGGAAGTAAGAATCACACAGAAAAAAAAAAAAAAAAAAAACCAGTTCAAAGACTGTCAAACACCTAGGAAATATATAAAAGCATTTTCTTTTTGAATGTAAGTTTTATTAGACTTACGAATTCATCTGTCATCCTCCTGGTATGAACACAAATCTAGATAATGATGTTTTAGGGCGCACTCAGGAACTTATCTTAACAGTGTAATGTGTATTTGTAAAGCATTCCTTATTTTCTTAATCTGAATGCATCCACAGTTATCCACACCAAATGCATCCAATCATATGACTCCATTCATACATTATTCTGGGAGGTAACGAAGCCAAGAATTTCTGCTTCAATATATCAGTGGAGAAACTTAGTCTTTGATGGTACCTGGGTTACAAACGTGGAGCTAGGACCAAGTGTTACTCCCTGCTAAATTAGGGTGAATGGGGAACGGATTTACCTTGACAAAAATACCCAGATTAATAATCCAATCTTCTGTATCATTACTCAGATATTTTGAAATTGCTTATGCCTGCAGGTGTGAAGAAAACAGCCTGAATAAAAGGTGTCCTACAAGACCATGTTCTTACGACATCACTCCATTAAAGCTGCCATGTTGCCTATATAAGAACAAATACAATACAGCATACATTTCTAGCACGACCCTAGATATTTTCTCTAGTGTAAATAAAGAGAAGGAGAAGTTGAAAAGATTTGTGTTGCAAATACTTAAATAGAAATCCAAACATTTATTAATTTTTTGCTACTATTTATTGAAAAATATTCAAGGGTGGGCAATATTTCAAAAAAAAAATGAATAAGATAGTTCCACCTTGGGGTTTTGCTAAATACTCATTTTACTCACCTATATTTCTTTTATTCCTCTCCTCTCTTGTTTCTTGTTTTCTTTTCCATTACTTTTGTGTAATGCAAGAAAAAATGTGTTGTGGATATGTCTATGAAATCAGCTTTTCTGCTTTCTGTATTAAAATTTTTTAAATAATTTTTTAATGTTTATTTTTGAGAGAGAGAGAGAGAGAGAGAACGAGCAGGGGAGGGGCAGAGAGAGAGGGAGACGTAGAATCTGAAGCAGGCTCCAGGCTCTGAGCCGTCAGCACAGAGCCCAATGGTGAGGCTAGAACTCATGGACCGCGAGATCATGACCTGAGCCAAAGTCAGACACTTAACCAACTGAGCCACCCAGGCTCTTCTGTGTATTAAATTTTTAAAGTGAAAAGTGAAATTAAACATATTAACAATGAACAGCTAAACAAATCTAAAATATATCACTATGTGCACAGATGTCTTCTTTTTTTTTTTGCATCTATCAGCCAAAATAATAAATTCTATTTGTCACTGGAACTTGCTAATTGGTATTACTACACTTTTAAAAAATCAGAAATCTAAAGGTCAGAATTGCTCATAGCAAAAAGATTTCAAATAATGACCATCAGAAATACCATCTTAAGTCTACGGCCATACCACCCTGAACGCGCCCCATCTCGTCTGATCTCGGAAGCTAAGCAGGGTCAGGCCTGGTTAGTACTTGGATGGGAGAAATACCATCTTAAAAAATGAAGGGTGACCACATTTATCAGGGTCGTCAGGCATGAGTTGCCACCACCTAGGTGACTTTTCCAAATACACTTTTGGGTGACCTGAACTTTTAAAGGAGATTGTTAACTTGAATGGAATGCCTTAAAAAATGTTTTGTGTATATCCTTTCATATAAGATTTAATGTGCAGAATACATGCTAGTGTTTACTTAATGATTCAAGGTTATCATTATTAACAGGATACCTTTAATCCATACAACTTTTTATGGTATATTGATCATTTTCACACACATACCTCTCTTCTGATCTTCACCTCAGCTTTATGCCATAGGTGGGGTGGGTATCAATATCCCTGTTTTATTGAAGAGGAAACTGAGGCTCAGGATGGCTAAGCGACTTTCCCAAAGATTTCTCACAAGTGCCAGAACAAGAAAGCAAACTGAAGTCTCCTGGCACCAAGCCTCGTGCTCCTTCCCATGAACAGCACTGCCTCTCTGGGCCAGTGATTACACAGTGGTGTTTTGCAAAGATAATGAAGTGGTAACATGGACCATTTTTCCTTACTCTAAAAGCCCTCAGACTCCTAAGGTTTTATGTTCTTGCATTTGCTTTTTATAGTTTTTACTGCACGGTGCCTGGCATATAATAAGCATTTAGTCATTGTTCCTGTGAATCTGTCAGCTGTCTGTTGTAGCGTGCCTGGCACCAGAGGCTTATCACTGTCTTAATATTCATTCATTCAGTCTTACAGGCGTTCATTCATTCATTCATAGATACATTCGACAAATACTTATTAAGAATCTGTGTGTGCCAGGCCACCAGAATGGCTGTGGTAATAAATGCTGAACCCATAAAAAGACTTAACGTTTAGATGCTTACATCAACACATTGTCACTCAAATGTCAGACTTCTTGTCCCCCTCAAACAAAGTCACTTTGAAGAAGATGGCAGTGAAATGTATTAGATTCCCAGGGCCGCCATAACGAAAGAACACCTGACCGGGTGGCTCAAACAACAGACGTGTTTTCTTACAGTTCTAGAGGCTAGAAGTCCAATAGCAAGGTGTGGGCACGTTGGATTGTTTTGGGGGCCTCTCTCCTTGCCTCGAAAATGGCTGCCTTCCTGTGGCTTCCTCGCATGGTTGCTCTTTTTGCAGGCATGCCCCTGGTGTTGCTCTGTGTGTCCGCATTTCCTCTTTTATAAGGACACCAGTTAAATTGGATGAGATCCCGCCCTTATGACATCACATTACTTTAATTCCTTCTTTAAAAGGCCCTGTCTCTAAATACAGTCACATTCTGCAGCATTGGAGGTTATGGCTTTGGCATGTGAATTTTAGGCTCGTGGGGGGTGGGGCGTATGTGAATTTTGGTACAGTTCAGCTTGTAACACTATTCTAATCACTTTCCATGGAGAACTTATTACGTGTCAGCAATCTCTAGGTACTTGTATTAACCCTAACCCCAACAATAGCCCCATAAGTTAGGATGCAGTGGAAAACATGCTCGAGAAGACGGAGTAGCTCATGTGAAACATAGCTTCTATGTGGCAGTGCCTGGATTGGAGCCCTTCCAGTCTGACATGGCCTTCTTTGATGTTTATTTCATGGTGTAGAAGTCTTTTCTTACCCTGGCTCTTTCCTTTCTGGATAACTGAGCTTCCGGGATACAGGACTGCCAGGCATTAGACTGCACCATAGCACGATATTAGTGTACATTACTTCAGTTGTCAATCACGCTTAAAAAAAGAAAAAAAGATTTCTGGCATAGCATTTTTTTCAATCTACAATTATTTATTGTGTGCATACCATGTGCCCAACAAGGTATATGAACTTTTATAGGCAATGACAGCTGTAGATTTGCTTATTTCCTGCACGAAGGATTGCTTAGTTAATTGGCCATCTGGCTTTAGTTTTCGTTGCCGTTGTTGTTGAGATGAGCATTGAAACAATCCTTTAAAATCCTTATTTTTATCCACATCCCTGTGGTCCAGGAAAAGCAAAGTGTGGAAAGGATCAATAAATGTTTGTGGAATGAATTATAAAATCACGTGACACAGATTTTCCAGTTTATTTTTAGCAACATTTATAAATGTACTTTTTTTATATGACGTACTTGTGGAATTGTCTAGAACCTCAGTATGTATTATAATAGCCGCCAGAAATGTGGTTTTAAAGCCAAAAGATGGAGATTTTGTTGCAACGTGGGTGAGGAAACATAAATGTAGCTCAATTAAGAAATATTATCTGAGTGCATTCTGTGTACCAGGAACTATACCAGGCACCCGGGATGCAAAAACGAATATTCCCTGGCTTCACCTTCTTCAGTCCCTCCTCAGGTTTTCACCAGACCATTGCCTTCATCTTTTACTAGACAATCTCTGCAGTCTCGCTCCCCTCTCAGCCACCCTCTGCAGCTGCCCATCCCAAGTGCAAGCATTACCTGCAGAAAGCCCAGTCTTCAGCATCATAGCTGAGCCCCCCAGACACTGCCTCTCTCTTCTTGTCTCCTGTCATTTTTCACCTTGACATTTATGCAGAACATTTTTGTTGTTTCTTTTACACAACACCAGCCTCATCTTAGTTATTAGACGGCACAGAATCATTCATGCATTTCTCTCAATTTTATATTACTATCAGACACACTCCCATTTTAAAATTTATTTTGAGTTCTGTGAATAACTGCAGTATTTAACACACCTAAATATTTGATGACTAACTTTTGTTGACAGGTACCATCTCCATTTATACCATAAATTCATGCCGTGCAGAAATATTTTTGACAAAATGCTCAGTGCATGATAGAGCAGAAATAACTTGAAATGTTTATTTTATAGTACATAATGCAAATATAACCTAGTTAAATTACCTAAGATTTAAAACAATCAATACATATTTTCAATTCAGGGAGAATGTTAATACATCATTTTATGTTGTTGGATAATGTGAAATCTAATATGCTTTGCCGTTTCCAGGAATTCCTCTCTGGGCTCCTCCGAAGGAGTTCGGTTATTCTAGTCTGATGGGTGGACCCGAAGCAGCGTGGTAGTTGGCTAGTGGCCAGCCATATCTCCCCACACCTCCTCCACTCCTCAAAAGTATTTCTCCAATGAGCTGCATAGCAAGTAGGCACCACTTGTCCATCAGCCTAAGAGAAACCGTCTTCTCCAGGAACACTTTAGATTCTCCTCTCTTCCCTCTTCCTATCTTGATATTGATTTGTATGTTACTGGATTTTAATAATTAGAGGCTTAGAGATGACTGGACTTCCCTGATAGCTAGTTAGACATTTTCTTAGTTGTCTTTAGTGAATCATCTAAGTACACATAAAACACTATAGTAAAACCTCAAGAAGCCATAATGTTTAGGGAATGGTAATTGATTTGATTTGTGGTTAAAACATAAATCCCTGCCCCATTTTAAAAAAATGTGGTTTAGCACTGTTTAAAATATTTTGTGTAACTTTCCTATTTATTGTTAATAAATTTGTAGTAGATATGTCTATATAGTACACACATATAGCATATAATATAAGAAATACAATAGACTTGTCTATTCAGGATCTTTGTTCAAACAGCCTATACATAAACATTTAATAAATTCCTATGGCCCAAATGAGTGAATGAGTGAGACACTGAGGTAATACAGCTGACTTTGTGCTGCTCTGAGAACACAGCTTAGATGCGATTGAATTTGTTTTTAAAGTTAAATCCCAGGGCGCCTGGGTGGCTTAGTAGGTTAAGCGTCCAACTTCGCTTAGGTCATGATCTCGCAGTTCGTGGGTTCGAGCCCCGCGTCGGGCTCTGTGCTGACTGCCAGCTCAGAGCTTGGAGCCTGTTTCAGAGTCTGTGACTCCTTCTCTCTCTGACCCTTCCCTGCTCACGCTGTCTCTCTCTCTCTCCTAGAAATAAATAAAACATTAAAAAATTTTTTGTAAAAATAAAGTTAAATCCCTGTTATCTTTGGATTTGGTTTGCTCTTCCTAAGTCAATATCAGGGAAAAGAAATTTGGTTGACTGAGTAGTCAGTTATTTGGATTTAGATGTTAGTACCTGATATTAGAGATTTAAATCAAAATGGCCTGAGTGACAGCTTTGCAACATACTGTACAAGCCTGGGTAAATTACTTAATGTCTCTGATCTTTTTTCTTTTTCTCTTTTT